CCAAGCATATCTTGTCCTCCAGCCGAGCGAACCCTAACCAACCTACCGAGCGAGCCCTTCCCAAATCGAACGAGGCGACAGTGGCAGCGGCGGCCGCCGGTGCTTCGCCCGTCTCCTCGAGCCACGGCCGGCCGCCTCTTGCCGCCTCCTCGGGTCGCCGCATCGCCTCCTCTAATCCTCTTGCTCGGGTCGTTGTCGCCTCCTCTTGCTCCAACTTGATGTCGGCGTCAGCTTCAGCGGCGGCGAACCAGCAGCCAAGTAAGAGTTGCTTCAATTCATAAATCTTAAATTCTTAATTAGTCAATCTTGATGCTTGATGAACACTGATCTGAAAATAGTCAATCCTAAATTCGTAATTAGTCAATCTTAAATGGGACATTTACATCTATGCCCCTAATTTGCGCCCTCTCTCAGATTTACCCCTAATTTCAAAGCCTGCTCAAATTTTCCCCTCCACCGTTAGGTGCACTTACAGAAATACCCTTCTGTGCCGTTACCGTCCGGTCAAAGCAGGTCAAAGCAGATCAAAGGGCTTTGACCATTCTGAAAAAATAGCAAAAAAATTCTAAAAAATCTAAAAATTTGTGGGATCAAAGATACTCAGGTTTGCAAGGTGCGTGAAAAGTTTCGTGCTGTTTGTACATTTCAGGAGCTCGTGTCAGAGGAAAAACAATAAATATGTAAGCCTGTGAACAGTAAATTCAAAAAATAGCAAGAAAATTAAAAAAATATGAATTTTTTTGGCATCAAAGAGGCACGAGTCTGCAAGCTGCGTGCAAATTTTTGTTGTGCTTGGACATTGGAGGGGCTTGTGGAGAAAAAAACAAAATTTGGCTCGGGAAAAAACTTGGGAAAAATGACTATTTTCTTTTTTCTTGCTAGAGCTCCTCGCATGTCATTTGATCACAAAAACTTGCAAGCACCTTGTGCACCCAAGCCACTTTGATGCCAAAAAAATTCATATTTTTTTAAATTTTCTTGCTATTTTATTTCAAATTTATTGTTCACAAGCGTGCAGATTAACTGTTTTTTCTCGCCACGAGCTCCTGGAATGTCCAAATAGCACGAAAATTTGCACACACCTTGGGCACATGAGTATCTTCGATCTCACAAAAATTTAGATTTTTTAGATTTTTTTGCTATTTTTTTCAGGATGGTCAAAGCTGTTTGACCGGACGGTAACAGTGCAGAAGGGCATTTCTATAAGGGCACCTAACGGCGGAGGGGAAAATTTGAGCAGGCTTTCGAATTAGGGGTATATCTGATTAGGTGGTTCGAGTTAGGGACAGAAATGCAAATGGCCCATCTTAAATTGTCCATGACTTGTGTAGTTGTGTCTACTATCTAGTACTCTACTTTCTAATTAAATCATCTCCATGTTAACTTTGTTAGTAGTAAGCTAGTAAGTACTTGCTGATTGCTCTCAGTCTCAATGCTTGTAGTTAGTACTTTCCAGATTTGGTACTAGTAAATGTAAATAAATACTTTGCTGCAATCATATGTTCCTTATTTGCAAGCCAGTTAAAATTTCTGAAATACTTTGTTGTATTCATGAATGTAGGCGGTGTTGTGTCAAGCACATCATCAACAGCTACACAGGGAGAAGGAGCACATGTTGTTCCTAGATCAAAAGATCCAGCATGGAAATATTGCACATGTCCGGACATCAGCAAGAAGAACGGTCTAAAATGCATATTCTACGGTCATTTGTCCAGCAATGGCACTAGTCGAATCAAATTGCACCTTGCATGCATTCCTAAGTCTGGTGTGGATCACTGTGAGAAAGTGCCAGCTGATGTCAAAGAGGAGATCCTTCAGTACTTGACAAAGAAGGGTGACAAAAAGGCAGCCAAGCTTATGGAGCAGGAGAGACGCAGAAATGGAGTTGACTTGAGCCACTCAGAGGGGGAAGAACAAGCTACAAGTGATGAAGATGGCCTAAACCATTCTGCACTTGTGCTTCAGCCATCGAGATCAACAAGAAATAAATCTAAATCTTCAAGTGGCCCCATGGACAAATACTGTGAATTAACTCCCGAAGAGCTTGTTGTCGCAAGGAATAGGAAACGTGGTGCTGACACGATCCATGGGAAGCTGACAACTGAGAAGAGAGAACAAAAAAGGGCTCGTGCTTGTGAGTACATCTGCCAGTGGTTCTATGAAGCTTGCATTCCATTCAACGCAGTCACACTTTCCAGCTTTGACCTCATGCTTCAGTCAATTGGACAGTATGGTGAGGACTTGGACGGTCCTACTCCTTATGAAATGGGTGGCCCAATATTGAATAAGAGGAAGAAAAGAGTTCAGGAGTCCTTCAATGCACACAGGAAGACTTGGGAGCTTAGTGGATGTACAATCATGACAGATGCATGGACTGACATAAGAGGAAGAGGGGTAATGAATCTTGTAGTTCATAGTGCTCATGGTGTGGTGTTTCTTAATTCTGTGGACTGTTCAGCCGTGAAGAAAGATGGGAAGTACAACTTTGAGCTTGTTGATAGATGCATAGAAGAGGTTGGTGAGAAGCATGTAGTTCAAGTTGTGACTGATAATGCAAGTGCTAATCAAGCGGCATCAACCTTGTTGAAAGCAAAAGCGCCCCAACATATTTTGGAACGGTTGTGCTGCCCATTCTATTGATCTGATGTTAGAGGATATTGGCAAGCTTCAAACAGTGGACTCTACTATTACACAAGCTAGAGCTGTCACTGTTTTCCTTTATGCACACACTAGAGTTTTGTCTCTAATGAGGGAATTCCTTGGGAAAGATCTGGTGAGGTCTGGCATTACAAGGTTTGCTACAGCTTACTTGAACTTGAAAAGCATGCTGGACAACAAGAAAGAACTGCAGAAGCTATTCAGATCAGATCAGATGGATGAAATGGGTTACTTAAAAAAGGTGAAAGGACGTGGTTCAAACTGAAGTGTGCGCTCTGAATTTTTTTGGACGGGAGTAGAACGTGCTGTCAACTTCTTTGAGCCTTTGGCTAATTTGCTGCGGCGAATGGACAACGATGTACCAGCTATGGGTTTCATATATGGCACTTTTTTGGATGCAAAGAAGGAGATTGCAGCTAGATTTGACAATGAGGAGGCTAGTATCCAGGAAGTGCTACACATTATTGATAAGAGATGGGACAACAAATTGAAGGGGCCCCTACATAGGGCTGGATACTTCTTAAACCCATACTACTACTATGAAAACAAGTTGAAGATTGAGTTGGATGGAACATTTAAAGATGGCCTTGTTGCTTGCATGAAGAAGATGGTTAGAGATGGTAAGAAGGAAGATATAATGGCAGCTGAGTGTCAGGCATATCAAAATGAAGAGGGGTCGTTTGGAAGGGACAGTGCTAAAAGGCAGCGGAGAAACAAGAACTTTGATCCAGGTAAAGAACTAAATATTTACATTGTTGAAATAAGATGTGTAGGCTGCAATGTGAATTACATGTTGCAACTTTGTTAACTGTTATTTGTTACTTGTTGATGCAGCTGAATGGTGGTCCAATCATGGATCAAGTGCACCAAATATCAGGGTACTGGCTATGCGGATTTTGAGCTTGACATGCAGATCAGCTTGTGAGAGAAACTTCAGTGTTTTTCAGCAGGTAAGAATGTAGTACAAAGTACAAACTGTCAACATATCCTTTATATGCACATATGTTTCTTTTTCTTACTGATGTTTATTTACTTGCAATGTACAATCAGGTTCAAGGCAGCAAAAGGCGCAACAGGCTACTTCATGACAAAATGAGAGATCTTGTCTTCATCAAGGCAACTCCCAACTTGAATAAAAGAGAATGAACAAAGACAGGGATCCACTTGTGGACAAAACACATGCAGATGTTGTAGAAGATGAAGATAACGAGTGGATCACAGGAATTGTGCCGGTTCTAGTTGTGGATACTGCAGATGAACCTGGAGAAGAACCAGTACCACAACCGAGAGCAAGAGCTGCTGCGTCAAAAAGAAATAAATCTCGTCAGCCTAGGAAGAAGTTGCTCCCAGTTTTTCGTGATGATGAGCTGCAATCTGTGGGTTCTTCTTCTGATTTGGATGATGATGCCATGGCAGCAAGTTCATCTGATTCTGATTGAGCTTCTGCATCGTTGTTGGCTGGCTCCTAAAGTCCTAAGTCCTTATTTTTGCTATTCTGGACCTTGCTTGTTGGCTGTTTAATTTATTTGTCTACTTTGTTTGCCTAAAATCTGAATGTATGAACTCTGAACAGTGCTATATGCCTATATCTGGACCATGCTTTGTTATCTGAACAATGTTTTAGCCTTGGTTTTAGCTGCTGAAATCTGTCATTTGTTTTGATATATCTGTCATTTGTATGCTATATGCTGAAATCTGAATAATGTTTTGTGAAACACTATTTTGCAAAATAGCGCGCTATTAGCACGCTATTTCGTTTATAGCGTTTTTTGAAGGCTGCGCTATTTCAAATAGCGCGCTATTTTTTTTCCTTGCTAAGAACCCATGAACAATTTTTCTAGCTCGCTGAGGGGTACAGACTCGGAGTATTGAACTGATCTGGCAGCCCCACACACTGCCTGCTCAGAGACGCAGCAACAGCGTTCAATGATCAGAGACTCTAACTTCTGTGAATGTGCCAGCTTCGATACTCCAACATCAGTCACACCTTCACAGAGCCGGAGCGTGAGATTAATCAAGCATGGGGCATGCACAATGAAACCCAGCCCAGAATTAGTTATAGCCTCGCAATCCACAAGCTCGAGAGTCTCCAGTAATGGAGCAGAAGAGAGGGCCTTCATTCCCTTGTCATTAAAGAAGTTAGCACCACTTAGCACGAGCACACGAATCGGACAAGACTGAATGAGAGCCACTAGGCCCTTCCGTGTGAAGCCTATTTCTGCCTGGTACATGGGAGAACAATCTGCAAATGTGAGCTCAACAGTCTCAAGCATAGGGTAGCTGAGAGCTAGAGCCTTAAGGCTGTTATCAGTAAATGCCGTCCTGAAATCATCGGGATAATACTAAGGATCCAGCGAAAGTGAGATGCTTTTAAGGTTGTTGCAGCTCTGGGATAATGCAATCATATCGTTGTCATTTAGACCCCAAACATACTCCAAGCAAAGCTTCTCCAGTGCTTTGCACCTCCCAAGGAGAAAACGAAGTCCTTTTCCTGTCGCAATTTCAATAGATCCCAACTTCAAGTCCTTCATGTTCTCACAACTGGAATCATACATATTCAGGCTATGAGGGTCGTATGAGGGATCATAGCCCCCATTAGGACCAGCCCACCTATTACGAAAGAATATTTTCTTGATTTCAAACACAAACTTCGGTAGATTTATCCATCCCGAGCCAAACTTCAGGAGGTCATCCTGGCTGATGCCCTCGCAATTCTTTACTACAAGCTCCTCCAATGATCCTACAGAGCCAAGGTACTCCAACCAATCTTTGCTACCTACTTTGTTGCAGTCAATAATGTGAAGAGCAGAAAGACTCTGGCAATGAACAGACACAGTGAGAAGCCCTCTTGAAGTTATGTTTGGTGTGGACGTCAACCTGAGGGACGCTAGTTTCTTGGAACAGGCTAGATAACCAAGACCGGAGTCATCGATGTATGAGCAAAAGCTTAAACCGAGACTAGCCAGAGAGGGGCAGTGAGATGATAACACAGAGAGGCCTTGGTTGTCCAACGGATTGCCATGGCCTGCCGTCCAACCGGAGTAGTCGATTTCCACTTTACACAAACTAGTAATTGTGTGCGTGCAAATGCACGTATCTAAGTAAAATTGATCATTATTCAATTTGCATGCAGGTACAAATCTGAACAAATGATTTTAAGAACATAACTA